GTGAACTCATATTCGGTGAGTTTTACGTGAAGACTTCCTCAATCACGTGCTTTGTTCGATTTCCTCTTTTTGAACCAATTGTTGATCACTGTTGACATACGTAATTATCATTCTACACATCGCAATGGGACAATACTGTTTAGAATTCTGACATTGTAGCGGACTGCGGCAACTACATGAACTTCTAAATGTAAACTCCAGTGGAGTTTATAAGCTTTTTGCTTGCAATGCGATGTTTACGCGCGTTTTATTCGATTTTATCGATGATGGCGCGTCGTCGGTGCGTATAAAATTCGCTATGTGCATAAGCTCTTACTTCCCGACCTCTGCAATAATATACAATTTATGACTGATATCCCTACACTAACCAGGAAAAGACCTGCAGGCTTAGGCCCGTAGATAAAATTTATCTCTACTTCGAACTGTCAATTTTCTCGCGAAAATCTCGATATAATTGATATATGTTTAAAAACAAAAAGTTGTTGCAAATTTAAAGACACACTTTCCTTACAATGTCGATCATTGGTGCCATCACCCTACTTTGTTTCATGTTAAGTAATATTGTTTATATTAGTAACGATGGGAGCTGACCGGAGTAATGAGCCAGAACAACTGTTTCGTTTGGCCATGGACAGGTACAAGTTTGCCACGTTAGGTAACGGCCAACCCCCAATAGTGGAGAGGCACTTTAAGAAGAAATGATAATCATATTGTTCATTGAAATATTCTATTCTGAAAACTTCTAAAGAAACATTAAATATGTATTTTAATTATAAATCTGAAACCGAAACCAAATCTTGCCACAAACTTTTCTCACATTCACTAAAGTAGCGCCATAAATAAACGGTTGAATATCGGAAATTTGCTACGGGTGACTACTAAAAGCGAAATCTCGTAAGCCGCAAGGCCATAATCCTGATAAGAGCACGCGCTACGTGTGGACATGTTGCAATCAATTACCGGTATATAAACACTCCAAAATAAATTGCCTATAGCTCAAACCTTCGCAAGAAAACCCTTTGACTGAACTGCCTTTGACTGAAGTCGCTACATCAATTCGAAAAGGCAAACTACCAGAACCATTCAGCAAGGCAGAGAGAAACAGAGGTTTTTTGGCTTGTTGCGTAACATCTTTTGTACACACGCCAGCACATCAAGCTATACACATTGACGTATCTTGTTCCGTTGCACAGGAGGTGATTTTCGAACAAAAATGTGTAGTCTGATGTGGCGTTGTCCGTGCCTACAGTAACCTTCTTAAATAAAAAGAAATTTTGGACAGCTGTACTACTTTCAGTCGAGTGGCTCGTGTACAGAGCCCATAATAATTTTTTTCTTGATGGATGGTGTTGTAACGACCCTTATAAAATACCAATCGCGTCCTCTGCCTAAAAACAATGTTTGGACCACTGTAAATGCTCCACCCTGTATTAGTTGATAATGTCAATGTAACAGATGCCACGTATCTGAACGTTTCGGCAACATTTCTTGAACTGTATTTGAATAACGACGAATGAAAGAAGGTTTTCAACCAAATTACCTGAAGGTATAATCAAACAAGGCAAGTTACACTCTTATAAAACGACACTCCAACCGATCATCGCGTTTTATTGGGTCTTACTTAAGCAGTACACATTCACACCGGCAGTGATACACGCTTCAATGTTGAAGAGACCCATTTTTTAATCCTAAATAAAGCTAAGGTAAAGTAACTACCCATCACGCTAACCCAATTCGGGGCCCTCTAATCCACTCTGCTGACCATGCACGGGTCCTCCTAATCTACTCTACTAACCATGATCACGATAGCACACTCTATTGCATTAAGGGAATCCATCTGCTCTGCTGATCATGTGTATGGTCCTCCTAATCCATTTTCCTGACTTTGCACAAGTCCCCCTAATCCATTTCAATCCATTAAGGAAATCCATTTGATAGTTTAAGGATTTTAGCATTTAATAACTGTAGACTTCGCCTATCGCTTTTGGTACGTTTTTACTAAACATAAGCGTGACCAATAAGGTACATAATTAATGGCATACCGTCTTATTTTATTGTTTTGCAAGTTAATACTACACAATATAATATATATAAAATAAACAATATAAAATATTAACCTTGGGTATTCCAACGATTTGGAAAATAAACTTCTCGAAATTGGTTCTGGGGACCTAAAAAGGCCACATTGGCAGAATCATATTATGATTAATAAAATTGACAAGTCATACCATGAATTTTCAAACAAAACCAAAAAACGTAATTCATCTATTTGACAGTGTTCTATCGAGACCTCCATAGAACAGTCAAATAGATGAATTGCGTTATATGAATCGTAAGCCCTGCTGGTCTGGGTGTTCTGGATATTGCCCCGGAATGAATTCTTCATCATTCAGGTACTCATAGTACAGTGAATTCCGTACTTTGAGTCCAGGTAATTCGTAATACGGTGAAAATACATAACTTATACTAGGGTTACTAAACAATATGTTTATAGCGTTCTTTTCATTGTTGTATGTCATGTACGGACAACGGCTTATCAGACTACACATTTTTGTTCGCAAATCGCTTCCAGTGCAACGGAACAAGATACGTCAACGTGTAGCTTGAAGTGCTGGCGTGTGTACATAACATATTATACAGCGAAAATGTTTTTTGCAACAATGTAAATAGCTGTTGCAATGTTGCTACAAAAATATGTTACCAATCGCGTTTAACCCGTAACACTGCATGGCACGGTTCTTCTCTAAGGAGAGCGTTTATTCTTCGTACGTTGCTTTTTATGATACCATGTGACGGGACGGACAAGTTGTGCGCCTGGTGGTAAGCGACACTTTGGTCCGTATCAGTTGCTGTGCCCCTGAGAGCTTTGAATCCCAAAGATCTTAGGGGCACTGCCGCCGCACCCTGAGGCATAAGATGACAAGCCACATGTGCCTGTAATTTCACCAGCACCCTTACTCGTCACAACCGGTTCACAGTAATGCTCATATTACTGCTTGCCGGCAGAAATAGACAAATTAAAAAAAAAATTAACTGCCTCAGTGGCCGAACGGTTACCATGCCGGACTGCCACGCAGAGGTCCCGGGTTCGATTCCGGCCGGGAGAAATATTTGTATGGCCTACATTTATTACCCTCGTGAGTTTGGGTGTAATTTGTGGTTGTCTATGTGTGTGTCCATGGCACCCGCGACACAGGGTTTCCCTAGTGCGGGGTTATGGTGAGTGTGTGCGTTATTATTATTATAAAATTTTGGTCAGTTTCACAATTTCAAAAATAAATAATTTAACAAATTTATAGGAATATTTTTATTTGATTATGATTGGGTAATCAAATAGGTATATTAAAAAAATACCATGACACCTAGACCCTTGTAATGTGTGTATATATCGACTGTGAACTGGCAACCGGTTTTATCTCAATTTTGACAACTTTACAGGTGACTTAATTTACATGCTTTCAAAAAATATCAATTTTAATTTTTCTAATTTAATTGAATTTTTTAATGTAATGGGCAAGAAATGATTATTTGTTCTTGTACCATAATAATAAAGATAATTATCGTGTGTAATTGATTTATAATTAAACTTTTATAATATGTATATCCAACCTGGCGTTTCGAAATAATCGTAAATCAGTTACGATATGCTAAGCCATATTAAATATTATTATACCTACCTGTTTTTAACTATGCTACATACGTCGTCAATAAACGTAAATATTTTGTGTTACACATAAAAAGCGAAGAAAATATTTTTTTAGTTATTTTGCGATTAACAAAGATCGGAAAACGTATGTACTTGAATTATTTATTTATTCATAAGTGCACAAGTGTTACATCTGTTCTGGTAACAAAAATATACTTATGAATATTCTTATACACTAACTAACATGGAAAAGGGGAGGGGTAAATATTAACTATAATTTATCTTGGAAATACACGGCCACATCGTAATAACTTTAAGAAATTAATAGTTTTTTCTATAGTGATTTTAAATATCCTGGGAGTTTATTATAGATTTTTATTGACGTAGGATAGGGTCCGGAAGTATGTATCTTCAATCAATTAATAAACATAGAGTGGCTAACACTTCGTTCTGAAATACCGGAACTATTGAAAATTAAAGGCAAAACTTCGAATCAAAATAGTTCTATATTGCTGTGGTGGGTGCACGAAAGGAACCTCCCCACACTACGTACCATCCGTTTCCTGTACGTCTGGCAGAGCCTGGGCAATAATCGGCGTATAATTTATGGCGATTGGCAAATCCTTTGTGACGATGTGACCTCCTTACCTCGCAATTCCACCTTTTTATCGCCTTTTCTCCAGTTCCTGACCACTCATTTTTGAATTTTGAATCATTCTTTAATAATTATTTTGCCTCGCGATACTGTTTTTGTTTCGTTCCATCGTCTCTCCCTGCGCCATCTCGGCAGCGAACACATCTTCTTCTTCAGTTTTTTGACTTTTACCAGTTACCAAAAATCTCTCGTACGATAAACATTTTAAAGATCACAAATAATGTTTATAAAACTGGATTTATTACCACTATTTCTTTACCATTTTGAACTTTAAACTCGCTAAGCTACTACTCTCCTGGCCGCATTACAAGCGGTACCAGCAGCGGTACACGCTTTCAGCTTTCACCACGATGGCAAGCATTATAGTGTACGCCATCGATACGATTAGAAGAAGAAGTTATATTTTTACTTACACTAAAAAATATAGAAAATATAAACATTCTGAGATTTCCGGTGATGTATTATCCACTCTATGTTACGTCCGTGCAGTGAACCTGTAGTATCTGCTTCCAATGCATTGCATGTGAACATTGCTGCGTTCCGGTTTCGGAGGATGCTGCACGATTTGGTTGTTCCGTCACTTGATATTATAAAAAACCTCGTATTATTGAACATAGAATCTGCAAGTAAACTTGACATGATACCAATTCTATTATGAAAAATGATAATTTCATAGAATGGATCCTATTCTGATAACAGGTAGAACCTGCACGCATACACTCCTCTTCGCCCAGCTGATAACCCCCGATGGCAGCAACCATGGCCTGCATGGATTCGTAGTGCCTATTCGGGATCCCGATACCCTCGAGACTTACCCCGGCCTCATCGTTGGAGACATGGGCGAGAAGGTTGGCGTCAACGGGATTGATAACGGGTGAGTTGAGATTGGTTTAACCGACTTTGGGCCATGGTAACAATGGATGGCACCAATTACGGTATAAACGGGTGTACTATCTACCGACTATTGCATATCTGTATGTCTGTAGTCGTCGACAAACTGTACAGGAATGAACTTAATAAGGTAGGGCATGAAGAACCCTAGCGCCCTTAGGTGTAAGCCTTTTTACCCTAAGTAATAAGGCCTTAGCTCTAACCATATAAGTGTGCTGAATAAATATATAGATTAGTACGAGATATCTGCGCCGTGAGACCTAAGGCAACAGAAGCATGGAGGGAAGGAAATAAGGGTGTACTGGGATGGATATTCTCACTATGCCGTCTCACAGACTCACAAGACCGATCTACTGATGGGTAAAAGTGTCTTGGCCACAGTGATAGGATGCTACGAGTAGCAGGAGATAAATTAAACTTCGACTTCGACTGCTGTTGAAAGACTGAATTTAGTAATAAATTAATTGCTATATGTACAAATTTACATTTACAACTCTAACTCTAAAATCTAAGTGTCTCCTAGGCGTAAAGTGCCGTTGAAGCATTATCTTGCAGCCTGGTTTTTGATAGTTTATCTTGCTGAGTTCGAGTTCGTGCTGCTGAAGCGCTTCCTTGCAGTCTATTTTTGGGTCATTCGCCTGTAGTGGAATGTTCAAAGGTTGTTTGAACAACAGAGTCGTGGTGCCCACTCAGGATCTCGTCACACTCGAGATTTAGCCCGGCCTCATTGTCGGGGACATGGTTCACAAGACTTGTTTACTTTAGCTGCTTTCACAGTAGATCACTTACGGCGTTTTGCTTTGATGTAGTACCGTCGCCACGAATAGAGTCGTATAAGTACATGCGGGTTAGTGGATCTCATTTGACCCACTATTTCGGATTCATCGTTGCTTTCAATTTATTATAATAATAAAACGGAATACGGGCTTTGCTGATGTACCAGAGGTTATTTGAATGTGAGTTTAATATCAAAAATATAAAAAATTCTTTGGGAAGTATAATAATAATAATAATAACGCACACACTCAACATAGCCCCGCACTAGGGAAACCCTGCGTCGCGGGTGCCATGGACACATACACAGACAAACACAAATTACACCCAAACTCACGAGAGAAATAAATGTAGTCCATACAAATATTTCTCCCGGCCCGGGAATCGAACCTAGGACCTCTGCGTGGCAGTCCGGCATGGTAACCGTTCGGCCACGGAGGCAGTTAAATGTATAGGAGGCAGTATAACGTACTCTATGTGTATAGTTCTTGTAGTTTAGTGAAATGTACAACAATTTCAATCTCGGGTGATAAAGGAGCGTTGCGGTGTGTAAGAAAGTGTAGTGACAAACATAACAAAACATATTTATAAGGCAAGTGTGCGTTGGCAAGTTGGTAATGATCGACGTATGCTCAATTTGAATTGCCCCGGGATTTTCCGGTCCCGGAAATCCCGGTACTGACGAAATTCAATCAGTCCCGGTACCGCTATTATAGATTCCCGGTACTCCCGGTTATACCAAGGAACTACTTACCCACAGAGCTATGAATAATATTTACCATTAAATTCTGAAAACATTTTTGTTTAATATTTACCATTAAATTCTGAAAACATGTTAGGTTTCGTTAAGTTGTTTTTTTTTTTATATCGTTTATGTTATAATTTGATTTGCTGTTGTTTTGAACACTGATAATAATTTTTAATGCCATTGTAATACTACTTAAACTTATTACTGAACTAAAATGTGATTTTACGATATTACGTATTATACGATTAATATCATATGTTAATTATCTCTCAAATAGATATTTTAAATAAAAACCTTTAGTGTGATTAGATAATGAA